TTTTGTTTGAATTATACTAGTGCAAATTATAGCAGAAAGGTTCCTATAAAAACGTAAATCGATACCGATGAGAATTTGTAAACGTTGCTCTTTGATAAAAACTAGGTAGTTCGACATTAAACACTAAGTGACACCTAGACTAAATGAGCTGATTTCCTAACCTATCACCTTCAGTGAATAATGATGATTTCCGTATGAAAAGCTAGGGCACAATGTGTTCATTCAGTGGAAAGGCTATTTAACACTAAACCTGCATTGTTCCACACCGGAATGCTTCACCGTCCGTTAAAAAAACTAAATACATTATTATTTAACAGTAGTGTTGGCGGAAATTAAAACACTATATTTTGATATCGATAAAAATGTCAGAGGTCCATTAAGTAACCTGTTCTATTCTATCGATAGTCGTATCGTAAATATAATTTCTTAATAGTGCTCGACGTTTAACTTGATGCGCTTTGACCGCCTTTTTCTGTTAGATATGATAGCAGCTTAAGTAATCGTATCGTGAAAGAATTATGGCCGATCAATGCATTGATTTGTACAATGTAATTTATTGTAGTTATTTCTTAATTTGTTTGATGTTACAATCTTTAAAAATATTAGTATTCAGATCGTATTTCGATGTCCATTTCTTGTGACTTTTTGTTGACATTATAAACGCTTGATATTTATTTACAGAAATAGTTTAGTGTTACTGAGATCAGCAAAACGTAAAATCAATGCAACTTAGCATTATAAATAAAATATCATAAATCTGTACTTGTTCGTTTGTATGTGTAAAATGATGACTAATGGTTATAATTAGTCAATTGAGCGCTACAAAAACCAGTAATTATAGTTTTGCTTAAACCATACTTACTTATTTCCTAATCACTAAGAACATTCAACAGACTTCAGCCTTCTATCCTTTAATACCTAAATATTGAATCACAACCTAAATTGGAAACTGGACTCAAGTAAAATCTTTAACAAGCATTTAGGTGATCATCTAGGATTGTTGTTTCATAAATTAATATAGAGAAACATTCATTATTTACCACAGACATAAATCCATTCGCGGAATCGTGGCGTAACTTTTAGTCTTGATTTATGTTCGTAAATCAGAACGCACATCATAAAACTATCGTTAGGTGTTTGAATTATCGATATCGAGACGTTCCCAGCCCTACGTTTGGTTTCTTAGTGTTGTAGGTACTTGCATTTTTCTATCTGTTTGCGTTTCGCTTCAATTAGGGTCAGGGCTACTTTCGTACTTAACTTAAAATAGAAATGACGTAACAGTATTGTTTTCATTTTCTATCAAAATAAACGTTTGACGCGTATAATCAATATCAACTAATTGTTGTAGCACTATAAGTTTTTGCTCGCAAATCTGTGATTGAAATTTTAATGTATGAATGTTATTACCATTGTCTTTATAGACAGCTGTGTACTGTTTATTTCCGGGCTTGTTAAAACCGTTCATAGTAAAAGCACTTAAATAATTCCATTGTTTAAGCCTTAAGTAGCTGTAATCTGGATCTTATTGATACGTTTTAAACATAAGTAATCAAGTAAGTATAGTAGTGAAATGAGCACCTAGCTTCACCTAGTTTCACTGACGGACTGACTGACAGACTATTATTTATTTTGTATTTGTTGACGTTTCAAAAGTACGAAACTATGGTTTAATTGAAATAAATGCTTTGACTTAGTCCTTAAGACCATTTTCAGCCTGGTCGGATTATCTGTTGAAGATCGTGATTTCGATGGAATTGAGGACTAAGAATAGTCTTCATCGATCCCTCATCAGTCAGTTGAAAGTAATGTCAGCAATAGTATGAAAAATCCTTTATGAAATCTAGCAATCATTGATGAACAGTTTCTTTCTAATAAGTACATCAATGTGTCTCGGATTTACTATTAACATCTATTAAACTTTACCTTCGCTTACACCGTCCATACAACATATTGTACTTAATATATCTTCATAATTCTTGCCTTGGGCTTCAATTAAGGCTATATAATTAAAATAAGCGTTCTCTTTGATTATAGGAATTATGATAATGGTGTCTGACCTTCGTGGCCTGATAGAATAGTATGATGGAGCTATTTTAGTAAGTCTTCAGGCTCATTCGAGTAGTTAAAACCATCGCACATTCGACTGCTAAACACGGCGTCTTGGGTTTGATTAAATTCAACAAATAGTAATCGTTTACTATGTTATACTATAACTTGCGTGAGACATACTAAATTAATTATTATGTTTTCGACTTATTCACATAACTTTTTGACGAGGAGCTCGACTAGTTTCAAGCCATGTTAGAGGCTTATTCATGAGCAGTATTCCGCGACATACGACGCGTTATTGCAAATAAGCGAGTTTCTAGTCAAACAGTTACGTGAGTAAGCCGATAATATAATAATTAAATAGTAATCGAACATTACTTTGATTTCTGAACTTTTTAGTAAGTGTCCAGAGTCAGAAATTTTGTCCGGTATATGTCAACAACTTCAACTCCTATGGGGCTCTAAACATAACTGGTGTTACATTGAATATGGATATTTGTTCCTCTGCCATCTCTGATTAAAGAGCGTTCCTTATGTTTCCTTTCAGACCCATCTCTTATAATACTGTAACATTAATAGGTCGGTTATCGGATTAAGTTACGAAATGCCAAAACTAGTTTAGTATTTCTTACGTAGGGCTGTTATTCAAGTATTTCGCTTAAATACGATTGCAAGTTTTTCTTACCAGCTTTACCTTATTCGGGTATTTACTTACACGGCTTTTTGCTTGTGTTGCTCATATTTCGTGTTTGGTTTTTGCTGCCGATAGTAGATTTTTGTAAACGTTAGCCAATGTTTCTTAGTTAACGAACTTTCCCGGTTCGTAAGTTATCTTCTCTAGGTATTGAACTATTATTTAGTTAGATATAAGTGGCCATTGGTAACATAAATTAAATAGTGTAATTACGTAGAGTCATTTTGGTCCTGCAGACCCTATTAAAGACTAAGTCTAAGATAAATGTTATTATCAATTATAAGTTTAATGAATCGAATTTAAGACGTCGTTTTCGGTAGCTGCGTTTATATCTGCTAGGCAAGTTGTCTATTAAAATACTTTGCCAACAATATCAATAACATTGCCGTAATATGTTACAGAAAATAAATTAATAGAATAATTTAATAGAGGACCGATCTGTAAAGCTACTCGTTCATTAGTTCAGACGTGTTCATCATTAGTGAACATTTTGGCTCAAGAATGATAAATCGTTCTACTTAAACATTAGCTAATATTATAATGACACTAAATAATTATAGAAGAAAGATCACACGCGGACTGCAAACTCGGGACTAATGCTATTATTACGCCGATGGCATTTAGACAAATTTAACCTTTACGCATGATTAATTAGCAATTATTTTGGCATAAACACATGTATTGGAATGAGACGAAGCGGATAATTGGTAAGTATTTAGTACCAATCTTTGAGGCGAAAGTGTGTAAAATTATTGGGAAACAATAAAAAATGAGATTCCATAATTAATATTACGCATGAAAAGTTGCATAAAGTCATTATTAATTTATTATTAAGTACTCTTTTACAATCATATATTTACGAAGTTACAAAGTGAATTTGTTCAAAATCGTAAAACATATTATGGTTAACATAACAAAGGTCGTAAACCAGTACAAAATTACTGCAGAACACATAAATTGTTGAACGAAATCATCAGCTGCGTCACTTTATGTTTGTATTTTATTACTCAACTAACAATTTCATGTGGTTTCGTTCGCGATAATACAGAACTTTTCACTTAATTTTATCTTCGTTCCATTTTCTCCATCCTGAAGTTAAGCATCGTAAAAATGTTTTGCGATTGCAATTCCTTGTGAAATAAAGTTTATCACTTTAGGCAGTAACTATCAAACTGACAGATTTTGATTGACAATAAAAAAGAAATAGTTTCTACTACTTAGAGTCGAAGTGATTATACTTCTTCAACATGTTAAATCGAAACCATAAAGATTTGTTTCACAATATCTGATTAGTTTACCTACCATCAGCTGTACGATTAAACAGAATGCCCACGAAATATAAATAAATACGTGTGTCAATTAAAGTAAAAGAAACCTAACAATTAGGCATTGTTGAGAAGATCCAATGTGGAACAACGGCAGGTGTTTCATCAGCAGATGTATGCAAACTGGAAATAACCAAACAGAGACATATGTCTTATGTCTCCAAAATACAATGAAAACTTGTATTTAGAGCAATTTTTTCATTTAAAACCTATAAGACAGGTCTTTCAAAACACTCATGACGATTTTGCGTACCTAGGTAATAAAATAACAATATGTGTAGGTACATTAGTCACATTGAGGGTGATGACATAAAAACCATTGCCTTTTAGACAATCATAGGTAAACAATGATTGTTTTATTTCCGTTGCAGTTGTAGATAGTGTGATCAAACACCTGATAACCGTTCTCTGCTCAATGACATCAGCAACGCAGATGTGAACTGTCCCTGAGACAGTCAAGACTATCTGCTACTACCTACATAATAATATTTATCTGTCCAAATTAATATTGCCTTAGACCTAAACATGACACCAGTAACCTAATATTATCTGCTGAAAAAAGTTACATAGTGTTATGTGAGCGCACGGATGCAGGCAACAGTGAAACCCAACCCCAGCGTTTATTTCTCAATATAGTTCGGATAAACGTTCATAATTATAGGAAACGGTGAGTAAGTAATGAGTTACGCATCCACAATAGGAAATATGATTCATATGTCTCCATTCTTCGACTGTCCGCGGACGCGTTTCTAACAAACTTCTTAACGACTTCGATTTATCGTAAACAAAAACTATTACAATCACAGTGTTAACCTGATATTACGTAACCGAATAATTCAAAAGTCATTTCCGATATAAAGTTTAATCAAACGTTCATGTTCGTTTCAATTAAAACGAGTAATTAATTAAGATTTTGTTGTAATTAAGATATGTGGTACACGACCATCGGTAACGAGTTTCGTTGCAACATTGATATAAATGACTTCTACATTTTAATGGTACTGATAAATCGTGTTTCAAGTTTTGACAAAATCTATTTTTATGTTTTTGATACCATATGTTTGTGCGCCATCTTGGTGTTGACTTTTTCTATAATTATCCTTGTGTTTGTTACAGGACGTTCAGTGCTATAGGCCGCGAGAGTAGGGAGTCGAGCTCCAGCAGTAGAGCAGCGAGTAGCAGTGATGCTGCTCCTCAAGTCGAAGAAGCCGAGGGTAACATGAACCGGGAGAACGTCTCGAACAAGATCGCCGCCGGCATGGACCGGTGGCAGAACACACTCGAGGACATGATCAACCTGAGGTCTTCTAACAACACCGTCTTTAAGGACTACTATTGGGTAAGTACCAATCTCGGCTAACATTACTGCCTTCGAAAACATGCGAGCCACCAGAAGAGGGAAATATTTGCATGTGCCTGTTAGGTTTGATACTCTTAAAGTCATTGAAGTTTTCCATGACTTTGTTGAGCTCAAATAACACTTTGTTAAATTATCTATTGTTCCACAGAAATCAATGTATTTCTTACGCATCACTGTACATTTGACAATTACGTACTAGTCATTGTATTCTGCACCAACTGTACAGTAAACAGGTGTATCTTTACGGTACATACAAAACTACGGAAGACAAACAAACAAAATAATATTTAGTAAGGAACTTACCACTTGCTTTATCTCTTCACTTTTGAGGTCATCATAACAGGGCCAAGTAGGAAGGTAGGTCAATGTTCTGGAGCATGGGAACACTGGGTGAAAGAGAAAACGTATGCGTCGGCGCACCGAACCGTGTTTAGTCATAAGTTAGCTGTAGGGTGACGAGGAAAAATGAAATATTACATTAAATTTACTGAATGACATAATTATAAATTCGTTTACCTACATTGAATATTATAGTTTTGGTTTAGTTTTACAGGTCTATCTACCAGTTACGTACCTTTTATTGTAAAACCGCATTATGTGTAAAATAAAACCCATACATGGTTAAAATTATGAGTCATTGTTGGTGGTCAAAAGTTGGTGCAAATAAAATTAAATGTTTACTTTAATAATTATAGTTACTGCCTGTTCTTAAATGTATTAAGGTAAAGGCACCTAATTCCGCGCTGTTTTTAACATAACACGAAAGAACATTATAAATTAAGTATTTATCGGACCTTTGTGTACAATTTTATATTTTTATCAGAAGTGTTAGCTATCAAATTTTTGAAAAATATTTGCAGTTTGTCAGTAGAAGGTTATTGAAGCTGATAAAATAAATAAAAATATAAAAAAGTCCGAGGTACCTTATTCCGATTTAAAAATCGTAATTCCGATGCATTTGGTTCCTAATTCCGAGTATAAAAATAGAAAGGGAACTATGCTACGACCCGTAGTAGCACCGGTAAAAAGGGAAAATACCTAATATGAATATTCTTAAGAGTCTTCTAAAGTCATTTTCTTTAATATAATAAAATAAATAAAATACATGCAATTAAAAAAAAACTAAACGTAAAAAAAATAATTTTATTATATTTTTTTACAAACACACACTCCAATTTTATGTATTTGTATAGATGATTAGTATTCTTTCAGTTACTAAACGCGTATCTACTAAGCACATAAAATAATGAACACTCTGTATTTAAACAGGGTCTTAACTAACTTCGGAATTAGGTTCTCATGTAATCTTATTCCGACGTAAATACATCGGAATTAGGTACTCATGTAACCTTATTCCGACGTAAATACATCGGAATAGCGTTTTATGATGCTAAATCAAAGTTTCTAATTCCGAGTACTAAAAAGTAAAAGATTTTTTAATATTATGCAAATAAAATAATGTATAGTTACAATATGAAAGGAAAACAAATATAAAGTACATACATATAATAACAGAACACTTATAAAACCTAATGTCTTCACTAAAATCTTCTATACAACGTATTAATAAAGTACCTGTACAAACAATTTTTGACCTGCTATAATTAGTAAATGCGACGCCACGGTGTACCTCGGAAATAGATTATTAAATGTATGAGTTATTCATTAAGTCAGAACTAACACATTAAAGTTTATAATCATAAAACAGACACCGAAATTTAAAAAAACTAAATGTCTTTAAATTTGTTTTTCCGTGGTATACATCGGCTTTTAGGAACACACTAAAATATTTTGCACCTAATGCCGCGGTATTTTAAACACTTATTTTCTTGCTAATTTGCAAATAAAATACTCAAATCTTAAGTTTTTTCGATAAAAAATATTATCATTTCAATATTTCAACCTAAACGAAAACTCGCGTTGTATAAAATTATTACGTAAAACACTATTTGGCAAATCGTAATACTCACGTGCATAAGGTCCCAAATGTATGAAGTGTGCTTTCGACGCCGCTTCCCGCGGCAAAATGACCGATTATTTTACAGTGTGACCATACTAAACTCTCCTTTGTATAAATAAATATGAACAGATAATTATTCATTCATTATTTTATCATGCAGACCATAAATAACTAGTAAATTGCTTTAAAAAACTGTTTTTCTAAATACATCGGAATATGATGCCATTTTTAGAACCCCTCGGAATAAGGTGCATTTACCTTAGTACAGTACAGGTAATAATGACTTAATTCAGTGCAAATCAAGTCAAGGTTCAGTTATAATTTCCTTCCTTAATTAAACGCTTAATTGGAAAAGTGTAGTATTTGTTTTGCAGACAAATATGAAAATGAATCAGTTGCAAACTCAGGTGTACACACGGCCACACGTCAATCTACCTATACAAAACCAGTTTATCCTGGTGTCGCGTCGCATCACCTTCCCGCACATTTAACGTTCAGTTTATACTGGTTATGTAAAGCTCGATGTGTAGCCGCGTGTACATCTAATTAATAAATGATATCGCAGTACAATTCTGGTAGCTGTTTATTTCTGATGGCGATATGATTTCTGTATGGAATGAACTCTCACATGAAAATAATCTTGCAGACTGCACGGTTGGCGCGGTGGTTGGGCAACCGGCTGCCGCGCAACGTGTCGCGGCTTCGATTCCCACACATATTGTGTGATCCATAGATTGTTGTTCCGGGTCTGAGTGTCATGTGTATGTGAACTTGTATGTTTGTAAGCCCACGCCCACGTGCACCCACGACACTGGAGGAAATCGGAAATAGAGTGGGGCAACGGTTTGTAAACAAACAAAAAATCTACTAGCATGTTATTAGCAAATCAGCTTTAATAACAATTCCTTATTCCTTCAATGAACGTCTTGAATGAGAAATTCAGTTATTAGTTGAATGGCTAATAATAAGCTAGTTGGCTGCGAGATATCTATTCCAACAGAAGTCTTATACCATTATGAGGAGTGAAATGTAACTTGCTATAGTAGACTTGTCAAAAATGAATGTAATAATATTACAGTGTGTAATTATTTGAACTATGTATCTACCGTAATATCTCGCAATCATTGTTCACTACTACGTAACCACGTTGCTCGATGAAATCGCTCTGAGCGTGCTAAACTGACATTGAATTCTAACCGCCTGACTTTTAAGTAACATCTTTAAAAATAATTGGATTGTAATGTTTCTTTTTGGTTTGCAATAGTAATAATTAACCTTGATGATGGTATCATTCTCAGAGGCTCATGTAGTTTAGTAGAAAAGCCTACATCCTTACTAATATTATAAATCGGAAAGTGAGTTTGTTTGTTTGTTCCGACTTCACGCCGTAACTACTAAACTGATTGCATTGAATTTTTGCAGACGTAAAATTAGTAGTCGGAATTAAAAAATAGGGTACTTTTTATCCCAAAAACATTTGATATTCCCGAGGGAAAACAAAAGTATTGGTGTAGATGGCGCTGTATGTAGTGTATGTATGTCACATAGGCTACTTTTTATCCTTTGTGACGCGAGCGAAGTCGCGGGTAAAAGCTAGTTTATTATAATTATGGGAGTCGCCCCAGCTTCGTCTTTGTTCCCAGTGTTCCCTTCCAATATTCCTAGTGAATACGTCGGTATTTTCTTTTATATGAACCTCACCCCTAACAATTAAGAATACAACAAAAAAGTATCATCCAATTTGGTCGAGTAGTTCGGGAGCTGTACGCATACACACATTTTTTAACCGAACCTTTAGTTAACTATGACTATGTTTTATGTAATTTGTGATATTCCTCTTGTTGCCTCAAGCTGCAAAGGTTTTAGTACCTTGTAATAGTAGGACGATAGTCAAATTCAAATTATTTTAGTCTATTGTCACATTTGCGGTCGCGGGACTATTGCTAATTTAGTACATACGTCAATGCTTAGTAATAATATTAATGATTAATGATAATTTATAAAATAATAGGTAATTCGTCATATTTTTCCCATAAAAATACATTTTGTCAATCAATGGATAGACCTATAAAACAAACTGTTGTTTTACTTGTAAAGCAAGGGTAGGGTTTCCGAATCGTTATTTTTGGCTTACGATGGTAACTAAGTTGTCGATCATCGTCATCAATCATCAACAGCCTATAAATGCCCACTGCTGAACAAAGCCTCTTCTCATACGGAGAAGGTTTGAGCATTAATCACCGCACTTGCTCAATGCAGGTTGGCGATTACAAACTTAAAATTAGAAATTTTAAATCCAGGTACCTCACGGTGTTTTCCTTCACCGTTTGTCAGTGGTGTCTAGATCGATCAGTTGAACGGAAAATTGAATCATTAAGCCAATACATATAATCTTTTACTACTTTTAATAATTCTTTCGGTTTTCAACAGTTTAACGATCGATGATTATTATCGGTACCTATTACATTTGCTACTATTATGTCAATCTTTTACGATTATTACAACTGGAGCGAAATGAATGTAGCATGACTGTTATCGTTTTGCACTACGCCACTTATTCAATAATACGATAAATTGTAATTTGTTTACTTTATGGTATTATTTACTAGTAACCTGCCTGTAGTTAAAATACAGGGTGACTTTTAACTCGACGTATTCTTATCGGGAGGTAATAACACAACTTATTTCCTACAAAATTAGCCCTGAGGTCTCTGGTCCGAAAGTGGCTAGTTTCTGAGATATTTAGCATTCTGATATATTATCACGTCCCGATAGAAATACGTTAAGTTACAAGTCACCCTGTATATCTCTCTTATTTCTATATAAATAAAAAATAATTTCCGTTCGTTAGTCTCGCTAAAACCTGAGAACGGCTGAACCGATTTGGCTAATTTTGTCTTGAAATGTTCCTGGAAGTCCATAGAAGGTTCAAAGGGTCAGAAAAGAATTTCAGGCGGTACTAAGTTTGCCGGTTCAGCTAGTTATTAATATACATACATATATATTATTTGATTAATAT